ACTGGAATTTCCTGGCCTTTCGGCCCTCATCCAACAATGTCTCCGGGGCATGTCGGCCCAGCTCCAGGAACTTGCGGGCATACTCCGACACTGTCATATTACCCTGGACCAACTGAGCAAATTCCATTTCCTTTAAATGTTGGATGTGTTTAGGGAGATACTCCGCATGGAAAGCCGCTAGGAACTGCTCCCAAGTAACTGGTACAGGCAGGGTGGCCCGCTTGAGCTCCCACCAGCGTACTGCTTCCCCTACCAGCATGTAGGAGGCAATGGCAGCCCTCTGCTCAGGAATTACTCCCAAGGTCTCAAAGGCTCTCTCAGTCTCCGCCAGCCAGTATTGGGCCTCTTCGAAAGAGGATCCCCCTGAAAAAGTAGAAGGGTTCAGTCTCCTGTACCTCTCTATGAAGCCGGGGTCGATCAAGGAGGGAGCGGGGTCCCGAGGTAGAGGAACTGGGGCCGGCTGAGGGTGAACTGGGGGACCCTGTGGTGGCGCCTGCTGATGGGGTGGGGGCACTGGAATGTGCTGTGGCGGCACCTGTTGGTACTGTGGCTGTGGTACCGGGTCGTACCGCGGCTGTGGTGCCGGGTGGTACTGTGGGGGAACAGGCTCCTGCCGGGGTGGCTCGGGATCAGCCTGCTGTAACGGGGGCTCAACCTGCGCTAGCGGAGGAGGTCCGGGTAACTCCCTTCTCTCCTCTTGCCTTCGCTGGGCAGCTACGAGAGCTTCCACCATCTCATATAATCTGTCCAAATCCTCCCGAAGCGAATTATCTTGGGCCGCTCGGTTTAGTGGGGGCCTTCCTCTCCTCATTTCTGTGTACCTGCATTTACAAGGAATGGTTGAGTAACGACCAATCGGTGAGTATTTCTTTAAAGGACTATAGTGTAAGGGATGGGTCCGAGGAAATGCGGCTCTGATACCAAGTGTAACGGCCCCGGAAATATTAAAATGAAATGAGTATTTAAATATATCAAATGCGGAAGCGAGATCAAAATTTCAGTTAACATCCCTTACACGAAAAAAAACCCAAAAACGTACTTAAAATACAAAAGATTAAACCAACTAAGAGAGAAACTCGAAAATAAAACTATGAGTATGACTACAGAGTCTCTAGGCATCCCCTTCGTCGTCCTCCTGCGGAACGGGCTCGGGAACCATGTCTTCCTGATCTGAAATGGTTAAATAAGGAGTGAGCTACACTAGCCCAGTAAGAACATCACGATATCTCACCGTCACGGAGGTAAAGGTGGGTAGAAAAACACAAAAGACCAATGGAGCATAATTTACAACAAACTCGTTTATTAACATGAAAACCTTCACCCTCCACTTACCTCGGTGGAATTTATGAAAACAATATAAGAAAAACAATAACATTATCATAATCATTGAATAATATAAGCTGTAAAACATAACACTTATCACGCCCCTTGAAATTTCAATCATTGTACAACATATCTTTTTCTCATTTACCAGCCTACTAGTATCCGTGGGGGTCCATAGGGGTTCCGCTACCCGTTAACCTTTAACATTCATAATCAGTTTCCAGGGCCGTCCCCATACCCCGTCCGGTATGGGCGCCAAAACCATGAACTTCAATACCCCGTCCGGTATGAGGGTGAAACGGGCCGTCCCCATACCCCGTCCAGTATGGGCGCCAAAACCATAAACCTCAATACCCCGTCCGGTATGAGGGTGAAACGGGCCGTCCCCATACCCTGTCCGATATGGGCGCCTAAACCATAAGATCTCCATACCCCGTCCGGCATGTGAGACCATAATCCCGGTAGGGTTCCCTACGGACCTGGTCCGTCCACCATCTCCCAGGATATCTAGTTAGGCTGACCCCCATAATACAATTATCAGTCTACACAATCTTTCATTTTCCTTTTCCTCAGTCAGCATCATCAATTCACATACAAACAAGCAAAACAGTAATTCATGCCGAACAGACAACATACAGTATCAGTTTTTCAGTCATTCAACCCATGATTAATAAAAACGTAGTATATGCACACAAATCTGTAAAATGAACACATCAAACCTCATTTTGCATTTAAAGCTGTAAACAGGCTAAATAACAGTAAATCACCAATCACACTAGACTCGGGCTCCATTAGCCACCTTAAGCAATTTTACACATTCGTTAATTTAAGAAATACCGTTTTATCATTTTGAACTTTAATACCGTGATAGGAAATAGGGTGAGGGGTCCTTACTTGTTTTCGGGATCCGAATACGATTCACAGTGCGCCTGCAGGCCGTCCCTAATTTTCCCTGAATTTTTTTCCCGGGGAACTGAAACACACTAACAGCACCTGCACGTGTTCCAAAAAAAATTCAAATTAGGCCTAGGGCCTCTTTCGGCCCAAATCGCAACTCCGGCACGGCGGCTCCGCCGTGCTCCGGCGACGGCGCCGCCGCTGGCGGCGGCGAGTCGCCTCGGGTTGGCTGTTTTCGGCCGTTTTCGGCCGAATTCGGCCACACTCGCATTGGTCCTTGTCAGAAAACAACCCTAGGGCCCTCGGGGGCCAAAAAGTCACGGAAAAGCGGAGCTTACCGGCGGCGGCGTTCTCGGGTACGGCGGCTCTCCGGCGAGGTTCGTGTTTTGGTGATTTGGCTTCGGTCAACCTGTAGAGAAAAGAATGGTGATCACGGTGATATAAAAATTGTATCGAACGGAGGCCGGGAAGGACCTCGTCGGAGGCAAAAACCGAGAGGGGGCGCGGCGGCGTCGCTGGGTTTCAGCCGCGTATTCCGGCCGTTTGGCCAGGATTTCGGCCTCAATTTGGCCATAGGAGGAATCAGCGGGGAAAAACGAGTCGGGGGTATGAAATTTACCTCGATCGGTGGTCGGAAATTTCTCCGGTGCGGCGGCGGGTGGCGGCGGTCGGCCTCTGGTTCGTCTTCTCCGGCGAGCGGCGGGCGGCTAGGGTTTGTGGTCTGGTGTGGGGGTTCTATTTATAACCTCTTGCCTTTTGATCACAGCCGTTCATTTCGTTTTAATCTGGACCGTTCGTTTTTTATTGAATCTGGGCCGTCCGTGCGATTGAATCTGGGCCGTCCGATCGCGCGATTGATCTGGGTCGTCGAATCGCACCCACGCGGATCGCCAACGTGGCTCCTTTCGGAGTGACGCGGTCTTGCCACGTGGCAGGCCCCGGTTGGCCGGGACTGCTGACCGGGCCTGCTGACGTGGCTGCTGACGTGGCCCCCCCCTTTTTTTTTTTTTTTTTTTTTCCGGGTGTTACACCAAGTCCAAAATTTTTTTTTTAGCTATATCATATGGTATGTGATAATTACATAATATCATATATCATATACATGTATATGATATATGAGTCATATACATATATATTTAATGATCAATTTATATATAAATATATTCTTAGATTACATTGAATGGGTACAAAAATATATGTAGGCTCAAAATAAGATGGTAAAAGTAATTATATATATATATATAGAGAGAGAGAGAGAGTTATATAATGATATTATTAAAAATCTAAATATATGTTATTAGAAAGAAATAACACATGGTTTGTTTGTTTACCTACCTTATAAGTAATTAAGTTGACCTCTCACCAATTTTTGTAATTGGATGAAATTTATGTTGAATGTTGACTAAATTGAGATAATTAAATGGTCCTATATATATATATGTATAGGTATTAAATAATTATAAGATCTATAAATCTATAATTGTTTTTGATTTCAATTGGAAGGCACTACATTAATTAAATGACACTCCATTTTGGGTAATTCTTTTTTGAAACCATACCAATGGGAGTTGAAAATTGAACCAAAAAATTTATTGCAATGATCTCTTTTAAGTTTTTTTTTTTTTTGATATATGACGAGATCTACTTTATATTTATACAATAACGGTATTTAATTATATTTTTTTGTACTAATAAACAACGAGATATATTTTATTTTTACACAGTAACAATATTTAGTTATAAATATTAGTTAGGTAGCTGACCCTGTTAGTCCGTTCTTATAAAAGACGAAATATAATTTTTTTTTCTATTTTTTTTTTAAATAGAAATTTCATCGCTTAATGGATAACAGTTTGTTACCAATGGAGGATTTTTTTCCTCAAAAATTTAAGTTATTTTTTTGTATTAATATACAACGAGATTTACTTCATATTTATACATTAACGATATTTAATTATAAATATTAGTAAGGTAGCTGACCCTGTTAATCCGTTTTTACAAGAGTAAAAGTATAAATAAAATTTTTTCTGCTTCATAGATAATTGTTTGAATTTTGACCGATAAAAACCATAATAAATTTATTATTATAAAAAAGTACTATATTAATCAGTTATCTATTATCAAATATTTTTATGAGGGTGTTGTTTATATTATTTCTATGTGATAATTTTGTACTTAAATTTTTTTTTATAAAGAAAAACTATGTATTTAAAAATATTATAATAACTAAATAATATAATTACATCTATCAAATAAGGTTGATTAAAATTGTTACTTTCCAACAATTGTAAATCTAATTCTAACTTTATAAAAAATTGAGAAATTTTTAATATGAAATTATGAAAATCTTTGGTTAAAAAAAGTAAAAAAATAATATCTTATATAATTTTAAATGAAATTGAGATAACAAATATTGAAATCTACAAAATTTAGTAGAATTTAAAATGTAATTATTGAAGTAATTGCTCTTAAAATTTTTTAAGAATATATTTTTTATTATTTTACAAATTTTTTTATCTTAATTACATATTTTTATTAAAATATATATATGTATCAATTTTTTTTTTTAAAAATAAAATTGCTTATACTAAATAAAACCTTAAAAAGTATTAGAGGCCCATAAAAGAGAAGCCCAAAAAGGCATAATCAGAAAATGGAAGAGCCCAAACCAAGCCCAAACCCAAGCCCAAACCCACGCCCAAGCCCAAGCCCAAGCCCCATTATTAGCGCTCTCCTTTTCCCAACGGCTTTACAGATTCAAATTCAAAATCTGACAAACGCACAGACTCTCTCGTCTCCCTTCGACCCTCTCCCGGCGTCTGGTTTTCTTGGTGTTCTTCAATGGCGACTCCTAAAACCTACCTTACAACACCAACCAAGACTTCTTCATCCAAAAAGCACCACCTGCAAACGCAAATGCTAAACCTATCAAATTCAGTTGAGTCCTCTTCAATTAGGAACCCCAACTCGTTGTCAAACTCTGACTCCAGGTCCCGATTTGAGGCTTACAATCGACTCCAGGCGGCCGCAGTGGCATTCGGCGAGAAGCTCCCGATCCCGGAGATCGTGGCACTCGGCGGTCAATCAGATGGAAAGAGCTCCCTTCTGGAAGCCCTCCTCGGTTTTCGTTTCAATGTTCGCGAGGTCGAGATGGGAACTCGCAGGCCTCTCATTCTCCAGATGGTTCATGATGCCTCTGCTCTCGAGCCTCGGTGCCGGTTCCAGGTCACACCCTATCAATTCTCTTTTTAGTTTCTATTTCAGTTTTCACTATTTCAATTTTGTGTGTTATTCGTGTTTTCCTTTTCATAATATTTTTTTTTAATGATTTAGGGCTCTGCATAGGTTTCAACAGTGTTTGGGCTTCAAATGGTTATTGGGGCTTTTTCCTGCAATTAGCTTCTCTATGTTTTTAAAAGAGATTTGGTTTTAATGTGTTCATTTAGGGTTTGAAAATTGCTGTGCATTTCAGTATTTTGTTTGTCATGTAAACTATGTTTGTTTGTTTAGAATTTTGGAAAATTAAAAGGAAAATGAGTTGAAGTTCCTTTCCTTGTCTCTGTTTCAAATAACAAACTTTAGTCTTGTTTCTTTATATGCCTTCCTATTAATTCTTAATCATGAAAGGGAAATGAGACTTGGCCACTGAAAGCAGGAAGAAGATTCTGAAGAATATGGAAGTACAGTTGTTTCCGCATCAGCAATTGCAGATATTATAAAGTCAAGAACTGAGTCACTTTTGAAGAAGACAAAAACGGCAGTGTCTCCAAAGCCAATTGTAATGAGAGCTGAATATGTGCATTGTCCTAATCTCACTATCATTGATACCCCTGGCTTTGTGCTTAAGGTAGCCTATCCTTATTTAAGTCTTTGGGCACTAGAAAGTTTTACATATTGCAGTGCAATGTACCATATTGAGAAATTGAATTCAAAAACTGTTGACAGGCAAAAAAAGGAGAACCAGAGAACACTCCTGATGAAATTCTTTCAATGGTGAAGTCATTGGCTAGTCCACCCCATCGTATTCTTTTATTCCTTCAACAGAGCAGTGTAGAATGGTGCTCATCTTTGTGGCTGGATTCAGTTCGAGAAATTGATCCAACCTTCAGGAGGACGATAATCGTTGTCTCCAAGTTTGATAATAGACTCAAGGTATAAATTTTTGTTCTTGTTATAATACAACGGAAAGCAAAATGGCTGTGATGAGACTCCGTCTGATGAAAACGAGATGCATGCTATGATATTGTGTTCTAGCTAACTGCTTTTAAGTGCATATCCTAAAAAATGTAGAGGTAATTTACTAGTGATTTGTTGCTAAGTTAATCTGATTTGTGAAAAAGTGAGTGCAGTACTAATAATGACTGATAAGAATAACAGGGGGGAACTACAGACACTTGTGCAGAATGTAGTGATTAGTCTGTACGTAATGCAATGACAGGGGTCCTAGTTGATTGAAAGACTCTCTAACAACTGCAGGAATTTAGTGACCGATGGGAGGTTGACCGATATCTGAGTGCAAGTGGATATCTCGGAGAGAACACTCGCCCATATTTTGTTGCTTTGCCAAAGGACAGGAGCACTATTTCAAATGATGAATTCCGCAAACAAATATCTCAGGTAGATGCAGAGGTCCTGCGTCACTTGCGGGAGGGAGTTAAGGGAGGATTTGATGAAGAAAAGTTCAAGCCAAATATTGGTTTTGGATCTCTAAGGGATTATTTAGAATCTGAGCTCCAGAAAAGGTATAAAGAAGCTGCTCCAGCAACTCTGGCTTTGCTTGAGCAGCGATGCAGTGAAGTAGCTGCAGAATTGGCAAGAATGGACTTCAAAATTGAGGCTACTTCTGATATTGCTCATCTTAGGAGATCGGCAATGCTTCATGCAGCTTCTGTTAGCAATCATGTGGTCAGTGATTGATATAACTAGATTTTATTTTTTAAGATTCAGAAAGCCAGCCGCGTTGCAATATTGCTCTAGGATATCAAACATTCTGGCTTTTTTAATAAAGCTTGTATCATTTGAGTTTTGAGTTAATTAATAGATTTATTCTTCTTTATTTAAAGGCATCTTTGATTGATGGAGCCGCAGATCCTTCCCCAGAACTGTGGGGTAAAACAACACAAGAAGAACAGTCAGAGAGTGGTATTGGGAATTGGCCTGGTGTAAATGTAGCTATTAAACCTCCCAATGCTACACTTCGATTATACGGAGGAGCAGCTTTTGAAAGAGTAATTCATGAATTTCGCTGTGCTGCATACTCCATTGAATGCCCCTCCGTGTCAAGGGAGAAGGTATAATTTCTAGAAAGCAATTCACCTTAGTAAGTGTTTGCCTTTGATCCAGGTAAGAAATAAATCTTTTATGAAACAGGTAGCAAACATATTACTTGCCCATGCTGGCCGTGGTGGAGGTAGAGGAGTAACTGAGGCTGCTGCAGAGATTGCCCGTACTGCTGCTCGGTCATGGCTAGCTCCTCTTCTTGACACAGCTTGTGATCGTCTTTCTTTTGTCCTGGGAAATCTCTTTGATCTTGCTTTAGAAAGAAACCGCAGTCGCAACTCAGAATGTAAGTGGCCCTCAATACTCCTCAAAGTTTTTGTACACTCTCCATTCCAAAAGCTTTTATAGCAAAACAGATTTAGGTTGTCATTCTCATCTAAATATGATAGTTTTTGCGTTTCATCAATAAATTTTTTTAATTGTAACGGGATGTGCTTTATCTTAAAATCCTTGTGACTTTCCTTTTTCTATATTTAACTTGATACACTAAACGAATATTAGTGGCCAAGGACTCAAGTTGGGAACTTGTATGTTTTTGGGGTAGCAGTTAGTATCCCGACATCCTAAAATTTTACATTGGAGAATGTCTCATGATATTCTTGCTAGATATCAGTCTATTAGACATGATCTATCTGTAAATGGAAACGGAAGTATGAGGAAGCTGAGATATCAGTCTATTAGACATGATCTACCTGTAAATGGAAACAGAAGTATGAGGAAGCTGAGATATCAGTCTATTAGACGTGATCTATCTGTAAATGGAAACAGAAGTATGAGGAAGCTGATAATTTATCTGTAATATTTGTAAGCCCCAAAACTAACAACCATAAGCTTGCTAGATAACCTTTCTTTTTACAAATTATGAATGCTCAATTTATTTCTGTAACTATATTTTCTCCTATTCCTCTATTTAATCCTGCAGATGGAAGGAAACCAGGAAATGTGGATGGTTATGTTGGTTTTCATGCTGCTTTAAGGAATGCCTATCTTCGCTTTGTAAAGGATCTTGCCAAACAATGCAAGCAACTAGTTAGGCACCTTCTTGATTCAGTTACTAGCCCATACTCTCAGGTATGCTATGAGAATGATTATCATGGAAGCTTTGGCTCAACTACATCCTCTTATTTCAAGTTCAATCAAGCTTCAGCTAGTTCATATTGTCTCGAGCTATCTGAGGCAGAGACAATGTCTCATGAGGAAATGATGAAAGATGAGGAGAACATACCTCCTGAAAAGAAAGGGCAGCAAACAACCCCAGGAAAAAATGCAGATGCCAGAGAAAGTCAGATGACTGTGCCTGAGACTCCGTCTCCTGATCAGCCGTGTGATGTATTGTACGGTGCAGCCAAGAAAGAGCTTGGAAATGGCACGGAAATTGGAGCACGGAAAAGGGTTGCTAGAATGGCAGGAAATAGAAATGCTGAACCCTTGAGAGTCCAAAATGGTGGTAGCATTCTGTTTGGAAACGTTGATACTGGCTTTAAATCAGGCTCAGCCTACTCAGAAATCTGTTCATTAGCCGCACAGCATTTTGCACGAATACGTGAAGTTCTTGTTGAGCGAAGTGTGACATCAACTTTAAATTCTGGATTTTTAACTCCTTGGTAAGCTTCTGCATCCTTTTTACAGTTGAGTTAGTTGCCATCATGTTGTTTTAGGAATACAAATAGGCTACCACCATTGCATTTCTTATCTCTTTTCCCTGGGAACTATTAAGGAGATTCTGCTTGTTTTCCCGGCACTTTGATGCCACAAAAAGATGACTTGCCTCTCTTCTGTATCTATGTAAGTTCTGTTTTTCATTGACATCAAGCGTTTCAATTGTAATTATATTGTATCCAAAACTCACAATCAAACTATACCTCCCTATCTTACAAGCATGTACGCAATAGCGATAAAAATATCTTAAGATTTTCCAAAAACAGATCTCTTTTGTTATGTTATCAGAGCCCTCAAAAACACCATGGCTGACTCCTCTATCATGATACTGCTCATCCATCCTGTCATTTCCATATCTTACTCATTTTCCATAAAATTAACTTCTAAAGATTACTTAGTGTGGAAGACTCAGTTTCATCTTCTCAATTATCAAAACCTACAAGGGATTATTGATGGAACCAATGTGGCACTGCCAAAGGCCATCCCATATAAGTCCAATTCCCGACCAACCCCAGCCTTTGTGGAATAGTTTAAATAAGAGCAGAATTTCCCTTAATAAAACTGGACAAAGCCTGTCTTGCCTTCACTAGTTTTGTTTAAGACCTTAATTTTTTTTTTTTGGAACTGCTTTTAGTTCTGGGTTGCTTGATGGCCTCATGGTTTACTCAAAATTTAAGTTAATCTTTGCTCTAAAAATTAGTGGAATTTTGGGAA